ATTTGGGCGACGATATGGACGCCGGTATGACCTCTAACTCGGTGTCGGACGAGCGCCGGCAGTGGTGGCCGTCGTGGAGCTCCTCCTCCGCCACCACCGGGTGTTCATCGGCTTCGATGAGCTCAAGCGGCGAGTGATTGCCGACGAGATCATGAATGGGCAGGAAATGGGACTTATGTTTAGAGCCGCACAACTGATTGGTGGTCGACATGGGGTCGCCGTTTGAGTGTTGGATCGGGTGGTTGTCCTTATCATCGCTGCAATCAATTAGAGAGTCGTTGAGATATAAGGCCGTCAGTCTGTCCACCAAACTGTCTGTGTCTGTCATGTATTCGACCTCCGGGTCTGCGCTGTCATTGATTGTCTTAAAATACATCGAAATATCTTTCGAATCGAGAACTGGTAGGTCTTCGGTGGCATCAAGTGGCGAATTGTTGTCGTCCTGTTGTCCGCCCGACTCGTTCACTACAATGCCTTCAACGGCGCCAATCACTGGTTCTTCTATAGCTATGTCTGGCAGTGGTTCCGGGTTTTGGACATTAATATTATCATTGGGTTCGAGAAAATGGTATTTCAAAAGACTTTGACACCATTTAATGCATCTATTTTTTGTCTGTTTGTTTCGTTTAAGCTATAAGTTACCGAAAAATTAATTTAATTAATAACATATTTATAATTAAAATTGAATTAAACGTAAAATACTTCATAAATGGGTTTAACGTCAAAATGTTTTCGCAATTCAAATGATAAACCGAAACCAATTTGTTCATAAGTCAAAGGGAGAGTCGGGTCGACACCATATTCATCACATTTATCAAGAATATAATCCAAGTCTTCGTCGGAATATGTTTCCATTATTTTGTTATAATTAACTGATAATATAATAATTATATAACAAATCAAATGCTGTTTGAATTTTACACAAATACTATATAATATATAAACTAAATCTCGTTCTAATAAATGAAACATAAATTTATTAATTGTTTACCAATAATATAGTTTTAAATTATACAATTAAACTGATTGTATAAAACATTGGCAACAATAGTTACTAATTTATTAAAGATTTAGTCAATAATTTATACAATTAAATAAAACAGTATTAAAAACAATTAAGACAATCATTTGGCACTACTGTCAGCACCGGTAGCTTTACGTTTGGGTTTCGCAACATTGAGCGCATCGCAAATCTGATCCCTAATGGGTCTCAAGACATCCAAACTCTGAGACCAATCGGTTTGTGTCAACAAATCCAACGCCTCTTCGGGACTGTTATCGGCGGTCAATAGGGAAACGTAGGTCTGGTTAGCCGTATGCGTACGTATGCGGGGAAACGCGTGACACAGAAGTATCACTAAATAAGACATCGATTGGCGGTAATCGTCGGTCTGAACGCCGGCGCCTAACACGTCGACGGCGCCGATCAGACGCTGACAGTCACGCGTTCGGCCGCCCGCTGTCCACGTCTGGGCCAACACCCGGTGCCTGAAGTCTGGATCAGTTCGACACGAAGTCAACAGAAAGTGTGAACAATAGATGCAATGGAGAGACAGGTTGTCGGAGCTCTGGTCGGCCTTTTCGTACAGATCCAGGAAAGCGTTGAATACCCGGCCGTCCATTGATTTGATCTCTTGTTTGAATACATTTCGGACATAAGTTTCGGTCGGATTTTAGACACTCTTCGCTAAACCCTTCAACACGTTATGCGTAAACAACTGGACGTCTAATAGGCGTACGAATGGCCTTCTCGTAGGCAGCGCTCTAAATAAGCGATTGGCTTCAAGTGAATGCCGACACACCGAAGGATGTGTTGTCCACCGCTTACTACGGATACGACGCCCTATTGCTGTCCAAAATGGCCAAAGCCTTGGGTCGGACTCAAGACGTGAAACGTTATGGAGATCTCCACCAAAATATTGCAAACGCTTTTGTAAAGGCTTTTGTCAATACAACTGACGGTCGTATGAAAGGCGACACTCAAACTGATTATGTGATCGCAATTGCATTTGAAATGTTGCCCAAAAATCGACAGCCTTTGGCGGCAAATCATTTCTGCATATTCTTTGTGTTGGAAGTGATTGAAAAATGGCCATAATTTTTACCAATTTTTACAAATATTCAATAAATTATTTTCAAAACGATTTCAATATTAAATAAATTGTTGATTAAAAATAAAATTTGAAAATCAATTTAATTTTAAAACTAAACATTTGTTTCGCAAAACATTGTCTGCATTTGAATCCGAGTTTTGATCCGTGGACGACCAAGTCGTTTGACCACAATATTCATATATATTCCCACATAACTATGATATACAGGGTTTGTTTGTATAGAATATTTTGAGCGCACAATACATAGTGTTTGTGTGGGAAGTGATTGAAATGCAGTGGAAAGTAAGCACCGGTTCCTACATATACTCAGACCTATTGATGGGTGAATTGTATTACGAGAGTCGAGAGCCGCACAACTGGAGGGACTCAGTGTTAATGACAGCCACTGGCCATCAGTGGTCACTAAACCCATAGACAAAAACGTGGCTCTCGTGGCCGATAGGGCTGAACCGGTTCGGGCGATACAAGTGCTCGAACCTAAGACTAACACGAGAGTCAACCCGGCGTTTGGGTATTTGATTTTGGCCAGAATATGGTCGGTTGGGTTCAAATACAAATGCCTAAAGCATATGACGCGAGTCGCGTGCAGTTAAGACACGCCGAGGCCCTCAACCCTAACGGAACCATTTATGTACTAAACCTGCGCTCGGCTTTGGCCACCGATACATACGTGTTGGACAGTAAGTGCATAACCAATGTATGATTAGTTTATACCTGGGTATAAGGCATGAAGCAGAGTAGTGTAGGAAAATGGTCCCCCGGTATTCAAATAATAGTGGTTAGTGTCTAATATTAATGTAAAGTATTATACAAAAAAGTATTATTTGAATACCGGGGGACCATTTTCCTACACTACTCTGCTTCATGCCTTATACCCAGGTTTATACACTTATTATATGTGCTTAAATAGAGGCCAACCGTACGACAGAGCTATCACTTGAGCCGCATTTTACAACCCATAGCTTTCGCTACGTTGAGGTCACGGGATATCCGGGAGAACCGCCGCTATCGGCCATTAAGGGTATTGTTATCCATTCAGACACAGCATTCAAATCACACTTTGAGACCTCAAACAAAATGGTTAATCAATTGCACTCAAACATCAATTGGGGTCAAAGGGGAAACTTCCTGTCCGTCCCGATAGACTGTCCGCAACGGGACGAGAGGCTGGGCTGGACGGGAAACGCAGAAGTTGTTCGCCCATACGGCCACTTATAACGCCGATGTGTCCGCCCTTTACACCAAATGGTTGCGTAACTTACGGAACTCCCAGTCATCAGAGGGTGGATATCCTAATGTGGCGCCCAAAGTGTGGGGCCGGACAACAATGGGCAACGGGTCGCCCGCTTGGGCTGACATTGCGGTGATATTGCCGTACACTCTGTGGCGACAGTACGAAGACATTCAGGCCATTGAAGACAGTTATGAGTCAATGAAACGCTATATGTCTTATATCGGCGCCGAAAACCCAGACTTTCTGTGGAGGAAGAGAGTCGGCACTAATTATGGCGATTGGCTTCAAGTGAATGCCAATACACCCAAAGATATGTTGTCCACCGCTTATTACGGATACGACGCCCTATTGCTGTCCAAAATGGCCAAAGCCTTGGGTCGGACTCAAGACGTGAAACGTTATGGAGATCTCCACGAGAATATAGTCAACGCTTTTGTGAAGGCTTTTGTCAATACAACTGACGGTCGTATGAAAGGCGACACTCAAACTGATTATGTGATCGCAATTGCATTTGAAATGTTGCCCAAAAATCTTCAACCGTTGGCCGCAAATCATTTGGTGGACAAAATATTGCAAACGCTTTTGTGAAGGCTTTTGTCAATACAACTGACGGTCGTATGAAAGGCGACACTCAAACTGATTATGTGATCGCAATTGCATTTGAAATGTTGCCCAAAAATCTGCAGCAATTGGCGGCAAATCATTTGGTGGACAATATTAAAGCACATGACTATCATCTGACCACCGGTTTTATTGGTTTGTTTATTGATTTTATACATATGGTTACTATTGTTTTAATTGTTTTACTTAAATAATTTTATTATTGGTGGCAATGCTAGGTGTGGGCCATCTGTGCCCAACACTCACTCAATTTGGTCACTCGGATGTGGCGTATCGTCTACTACTGCAGGACACGTACCCCTCGTGGGGCTATAGTATTAAATATAACGCCACCACTATATGGGAGCGATGGGACGGTTGGACCAATGAGAAAGGTTTCCAGAATCCACAGATGAATTCATTCAATCACTACTCTTTGGGATCAGTCGGTCGATGGCTCTACCAATCAGTGGCCGGTATTGACACCGACAACGAAGAGGTGGGATTCAAAGGGATTATAATCGCACCGAAACCGGCCGCCGGTCTCACGTCAGTGAAAGCCCACTACCCGTCCATTAATGGTCTGATAGGCAGTGCGTGGGAAACAAATGGCGTTAATATCACTTTAACGGTACGTTTTGAGAATTTCTATTTTAATATTTAAAAATTATTAAATTATTTATTTCTGTTATAAATAATAGGTTGATATACCGGTCAATACAAAAGCGGTGATTGATTTATCTTTTTTGAAAACCCCTGCCGTCCATAATGTGGGCTCCGGTAGGTATGTATACAGCGGAGAATTGGCACAACATTTTGAATTAAAATGAGATTATTTTCCGCAATCTTTATAAATGAATAAAATTAAGAAATTATTAATAAAATAAATTAATAAAATCAGTGTTCATATTAACCAAAGCATAGACCAAACCGTTTTATTTGCTTAACATGGGATTAACAAATGATTTTCACCATAATTTAAACACTAATTGGTTGCTAAATTAAATAAATATTTTGCGACATATTGATAATGCATAGTTGTACTAAACCACATACTTATTAATTGTAATAGATACATGATTATTAAATTAAAACTAACATATTGAAAACTTTTTGACTTAAATCATTAAATGATAATTTACAAATTACAAATTATTTAATTTGTGCTAGTACAAGTGCCCATACGAGTGCTCATATAATCATGATGTGATAATTATATTGAATATCATTTTATTTGATTCAGTTTAATTGAAATGGAAAAGTTTTATTTTAAATAATTATTGAATCCTTTAATAATTGGATGATAGAATTGATAAATTCATTACAAATCAAAGATTAAAATTTTTATCAATATTTATTACAGAAATCATTGAGGTTAAGGCTTAAAGTGAAGTTGTTTTTAACTTTGGTCATAATATTACTGATAAAATGCTATACGATTAACATGTGGTAACAATACAAATATTTCACACAATTAGGGATTTATGTTGAGATTTATTTTAATTTTATTTTGATATAAATTGAATGTAAAAATTGTTTAATTAAGTAATTGTTTTTATTTATTGTATATTCATTCGTTAACTCAATAATAATATTACTGTTAATGATGAATAAAAAACTTATTTTCACAGCATATCTCATACAATGTTTGATATTCACAACAACTTCGGCCGACTCTGATATACAGGCCGTAGATCTGAAAGTTGAATATCTGGTCAATCCATTGGCTGTAGACATACCTCAGCCCCGACTTCAATGGACACTACAAGCGTTGAATGAGACGAAACAAAATTTGTCGCAAAAAGCTTATCAAATACTTGTGGCCACTGATCGGCAAAGTCTGGACAAAAACATTGGTAATCTGTGGGACAGTAAGAAAGTAGTGAGCGATCGGAGCAATCATATTAAATATGGCGGCACTCCGTTGAAGGCCGGGATGAGAGCCTATTGGAAAGTGAATGTATGGGATCAGAATGACCGCGTGCTCGACAAACATCCGGGTCATATCGGTTTCTGGGATAAAGGCTTGGATACGAGTGATTGGACGGCTCAATGGATCGGCGCTCCCAAAGGCACACAACAACAGGCACTGCAAAATTTGTCTGATATTGATGCAAATGTAAGTTTATTATTTATGAATTAATGTTATTTAATAAAGAATAATTAATTTAGTTAATATTTTTTGTTGTATAAAACAGTTGACCCATCATCTGCCTGGTTTAGTGCCGGTGCTATACCTCCGCAAAAGTTTCGCAACAAATTCAAAAGTAAAATCGGCTAAACTGTACGCCACAGCGCAGGGCGTGTATAAGTTGGCCATTAATGGCCGAAATATTAACAAAACAGTTCTGGACCCGGGATGGACTGACTATAACAAGACTATTCAATACCAGGCCTATGATGTGACCGTCCAGTTGGCGGCCACAAACACTATAAGCATATTGTTGGGCACCGGTTGGTACGGAGGCTATGTTGGGATGAACTATCAGTATAACATATTTGGTTGGGATCAGCACATGTTGGTTGAGTTACGGATTGAATACGAAGACAAGACTACGGCTGTTGTCAAGTCCGACAACACGTGGAAAGTAAGCACCGGTTCCTACATATACTCAGACCTATTGATGGGTGAATTGTATTACGAAAGTCGAGAGCCGCAGAACTGGAGAGACTCGACGTATGACGACAGCCACTGGCCATCAGTGATCACTAAACCTTTAGACAGGAAGGTAGCTCTCGTGGCCGATAGAGCCGAGCCGGTTCGGGCAGTACAAGTGCTCGAGCCTAAGACCATACAAGAAAGTCAACCCGGCGTTTGGGTATTTGATTTTGGCCAGAATATGGTTGGTTGGGTTCAAATCCAAATGCCTAAAGTATATGACGCGAGTCGTGTGCAGTTAAGACACGCCGAGGCGCTCAACCCTAACGGAACTATTTATGTATTGAACCTGCGCTCGGCTTTGGCCACCGATACATATGTTTTGAATAGTAAGTAATATAAGATTGCATTTATTTACTAAATTGTAAAACACATTATCGATTAATTTATACTACTGTTAAAATAGAGGCCAACCGTACAACGGAACTATCACTTGAGCCTCACTTTACAACCCATGGTTTCAGATATGTTGAGATAATGGGATATCCGGGAGAACCGCCGCAATCGGCCATTAAGGGTATTGTTATCCATTCAGACACAGCATTCAAATCACACTTTGAGACCTCAAACAAAATGGTCAATCAGTTGTACTCAAACATCAATTGGGGTCAAAGGGGAAACTTTTTGTCGGTCCCGACAGACTGTCCGCAAAGAGATGAGAGACTTGGCTGGTCGGGAGACGCAGAGATCTTTGCCCATACGGCCACTTATAACGCCGATGTGTCCGCCTTTTACACCAAATGGATGCGTGACTTACGGGACGGACAGTCAAAAGACGGCGGCTTTCCAGAGGTGGCGCCCCGTGTGGTCGATGTATCTG